CTGCTGAACTTGGGAAGCCTCTGTCTGGGCCTGGGCCACTTCTTCCTTTTTGGCCATCAGCTGATCCTCAGCTTCTTGGAGCTTAGCTCTCCGAGCTTCAGCAGCAGCAGCAGCCTCTGAGAGTTGGACATCCCTGGCTTGGAGCATCTCTTCAGCAGCCATTTTGCTGGCTTCAAGAGCTTCTAGCTGTTGCTGCACTTCAGCTTGTGCAGCAGCTCCTTCCTGGATTCGGCTCTCAATGGTAGCCTTGAATTTGGAGATGTCCACTCCCATGTGCTCTTGGAGGAATTTTTCCCCTTCCATCAGTGGGGGAAAAACTTCCTTCTCCATAGTATCGCAGAAGGTTTTGAAGGCTTCAACAGCTTTTTTCTCATATTCTTCACCCTTCTGCTGCTTCTCTTCAGCTGCTGCTTGCTTCAGCTTAGCAAGCTTTAACTCCTCTTCGACTACCTTTTTGTCGTGCTCGGCAGCGTCTACCCTATCTTGTAGGGTATCTATCAGCTCTACAGTGAGAGTCTGATTGTGCACGAACTGAAAACAGGAGCACAAGTTAAAATAAAAAATAATAATAATAATGATAAGTAAAGAGCTGAATTTTAAAGGAGATAAAGGCAAGGAAAATCACCTGCATCATCAGCAGTTGGTTAGACCTGGCAGGGTCAGGAACTGATCTGCTGGATTCGCCCATCCCAGCAGTGGTCTTCAGCGACCAGATTCTTGCCCTATCTACTTCGGACATGCCAGCAAAATCGCCGAAGTAGGCTGCAGCACCTTCTCGGTTCTGACCCCATATGAGGTCCCAGATGTGATCTGGGATTGGAATTCGGGGGGCCGAGAAACCCATCTCTCCAGATTGCAGAGTTTGGAAGGAAGGAAAGGATGACGATGGAGCGTCTTTAACTTTGGATTGCTCAGCATCCTCCTTCTCAGAAGAGTCAATTATTATGACTTCTTCTTCTTCAGGGGTGAGGACGAAGGCCTCAACCTCTCTTGCAATGTCTGCCGTGAAACCCTCAACACTGGGCATCACGGCATCCTCATTCTTGTGCTCAACAGCACTCTCTTGAACTTCTTCTTGGACCCCTCCCTTAGGTTCGGGAGTTTTCTGATCCACCTCCATCTCGGGAGGTGGTGGAGGGGTCTTTGGAGGTGATTGAGGTGGTGGTCGAGAACCCTCGGCGATCCATTGCCTTCCTCGGGTTCCCTTATTTCGACGCCGATGGTCATCGGCCTCCGCTGAAAGTCATGGGGGCCGATGATGGCCATTCTTCGGCGCCTTTTCTGAAGCGGCTGCTCGTCCATGTCTGAGTCTGAGGACTGTTCTTGTATCTGGTCTTCGGGACGAACAGGGGCTTTCCCTTCTCTGTGTCTATTACTCTCTTCAGACTGTAAAAGACAGGGGGGAGGAAGAATGTGAGTAAAAAAAAAAAAAAAAAAAACAAAAACAACAAAACAACAAACAGAAACAGACAAAATTAAGTCTGAAAGCTCACCGAGGTCTTCAGCAAAGCCTCGTCTTCTTCAGCTGCCCTAGCTGCAGCTTCTTCTTCAGCAGCCCTGGAGGACCCTTCTCCTCCTTCACAAGCTTCAATAACCCGTGCAACCTCTTCGGCCGTACGGGCAGCTTCAGCTTCTTCGTCCAGCAGCTGAAACCAGGGATCTCTCTTCTTCCACCAAGGCTTCTGCCTCTGATACAGAGCAACAGCCTCAATTTGGAAGTGGGAAGAGTCTAGATGAACTTCTCTATGCCTCGGTTCAGTGATAGAGGGGGCCCGATCAGTTACAACTCGTTCTCGGTTGACGCCAAGACGAGCGTAGTTAATGCCGACGTTGGTCTCGTCCCGCTCTGAAAAAGAAAAGGGGAAAGGTCAGTTTAGTTAGGTTGGCACAGCATAAAAAAGCGAAGTGAAAGAGGAGAAAAAGAGATAATTAAAAGGCCTCGGCCCTAGCCGAAGAAGCTTACCATCCTTAAACTTTCGGCTGAGGCCGACAGCTGCTAGCATGTTCTCTTGGAAAACATAATACGTATCGGGGAGCCAAGTCTCCGGGATATGCTGCATTCGACCGCTGCCCCCCCGGTTCGGCAGCTTGCCGAAGATATTCTGTTGATTAAGGTTCGGATCTGGGCCGTTATCTGCGGGGGGACCTAAACTTCCCATGTCGGGATCAGGCTCAGCAAGGTACCGGGGAGCGCTGAAGACGCAAGGGTGGCCCGGGTCCGTGGGTGCCCTAACCCAAATCCATTGACCTCTCCAGTCCTTGTCTGAAGAGTCGTTCGGCCACATGGTTAGGTACTGGGGCCGAGACTCAATCCGGTACCACCCAGAACCATGACTTTCGTGCCCACTTTGAATATTTGGCACTAGCCGATGAAGCTTTTTGAAGCAGTGCAGGTTCGGCACATACCTGAAGAACTTGCAGACCCATAAGTATGTCATCACCCTTCGGATGCTAATAGGAGTTAGCTGACATAGGGAAATATTGTAATGGATCAGCAAGTCTCGGACGAATACGTCCAAAGGGAACCTCAGCCCATACTGAAGTTGTCTTGTGTACACCCCCACATACCCCGGGGGTGGACGATGGATTCTATCGGATGCCACGGGCATTCGGCACCAATACCCATCAGCTTCAAGGATGCCGTAATGCAACTCAATTTGTTCGGCAAACCGATACTGTTCGGCATTCTCCACCCACCATGAGTAGGGGCGGTTCTTTATCATGGCCGAAGCTACTTCGGCATCCTCCCACTCTGAAAACCCGGGAAGGATATCCCAAAGGACAGCGGGAACTTCATCGTCCCGCCCAGAAGCGCTCGGCCCCTCCGTTCTCTGAGGAGGAGCCGAGGAAATTGGAGTCGCCCTAATCCCTTCAGCAGGGTCAGACTCTGCTCTTTGTCCATTCCAGGTCCCAATCCTGTTCCTGGGATCGGGAATTGGCCTTGCTCTTCTTGGAGCACGGGCTCTACCCCTAACTCCTCTCGCCATTGATAATTTCGAAGAAAAAAGTCGAAAAAAAGGGAAGGAGTTCAAATTCGAAGAAAAATAAACTAAAATCAAAGGAATTTACCTTAATCTGAAGCGAAAGTTGCCGATTTACGAATTGGTAGTGGCGAGTCTCAGTTTCTAAGCTTAATGCTCGGGGAATTTGCGAAGTTTTGATGCGGGTTCTTGGGTTCTCTCGAGAATTCTGGGTTTGTGTTGGTGAATAAGTGAGGAGAGATGACGCGCCTCTAATTATATCTCCAGAAATGGGAATACGGGGAGTCCGCGTTTCAATTTCTCTTAAATACCCCACTAAGTAACCGTTAAACACACGACCTTGCGATTAAACTGCCCATTATCCGTCCAACTTCCACAATTATCCGCCTTAACTGTTGTTATCTCATTAATTACGGTTTAAATTCAAATTTTTGGATTAATTAAATCATTCACTTCCCTCCTTTTCTGATTAAATCAAACCCGACCCGTCATCCTTCCAAATCGGGTCTGGGGGGCAAGTTGTTTGGGTCCAATTTAGTCCAATTGGGCCTAGACATTAAATGATCCAATTAAAAGCCCAAGGTCAAGGTTCATCTCTCCAATTGTGCTAAAGTCAAAGATCAGTCCTCATTGCAAGCCAATTGGGCTAAGGCCCAACTTCTCCATATATGCAAAGGTATAAAAGCCATCAATATTACATTTGTACATTCATTCAAGCAAAGCCTCAAGCAATTAATTCTCTTGCATAGTGTTCTCTTTCTACACACTGTACTGACTTTAGCATCGGAGGGGCCTTCCTCGGCAACACCCCCGAGGCTAGTTTACGTGTGTTTACTGTGCAGGAAACCTTCGGCCCAACATTACTTGGATCGAATCTAGTCTTCTCCACTTCATCGGACCTTCGACAAGGTCCCATTGTTTTCACCCGAAACACAAACGAAACTTTTACTAAATTCTAAGAGGTGAGCAATTAAAACATTACTACATTGTCATAATTTAAGCAACAAGCTAAATATACATCACCACATCACCCCCTTTCAATCTTTCATATTGTGTATTACATACTTTTGACAAAGGTTAGAATAGATAGACCGAAAGTGTAATGAAAAAAATAAAAGTAAACCTGATTATTATGCATGTCAAAATGGAAATTAAAGAGTGTAATTGCACTTAGGTTAGTGTGAAAAGTAGTTGAAATCTCTCACCCAACAATGAATATTATGTTCGACCTTTTACATATTAATTTAAAAATAATATATATATATATATATATATATATATATATATATATATATATATATATATCTGGTAAAACTGACTAGGCATTTTATAATTCGACCCAAAATCCAAATTCAACTTGAAATCACATGTCTAAATAGTCCGACTTAGTCTAACTTAAGAATAATAAATAGTTTGTATAATTATATATTATAACAAGCCTATTCTTGGTCCAAACATGAGACAACTTGTCTCAATCTAAAATCATTTGTTGGCCTCCTCTAAAGAACATTGTTATTAGTACTCCTTTTGTCTTTATTTACTTGACACACTTTCTTTATAAAGTCGTCTATATATTTATTTACCCGATAGACTTCTCTTTATTTCCAATATTGTCATACTCAATATGCACCTCAAACATAAGAAAATATATAAATTGATCTCAATCCAAATTGCTATTAACCCCTTTCAAACTGTGCTAAATCAATCCAATAATTATAGTGCATTTTATTATATTATTAGCAAATACGGAATAAATTAATTTTAGAAGACTCACATATGATGATCCCAATCGAATTAACCCTATCAAACATAACATAAACAACATGTTTTGCCAACTTTTCCAATCAATCAACCAGAAAATATGCATATCCTAATATTTATGTTCTTACCACCCACAATCTGGCCCAAATCAACTTTCTGAATTGGGCCTACTATGTCCAAATTCCTTGAAGTAATAAATCGGCCCAAATTTCCTTGAAGTAATAAATCGGCCTTCCTTGAAGTAATAAATTGATTTGGGCCGATTTTACAACTCACTGAGTCAAAACAAATCGACTCGCACCTCAATGAAATTCCTGCAAAATTCTCTCATCTCAATTCAACAAACCTTCAAAAGACCAAATCTTTCCACCATGAAAGCCAGATAACATTACACCCCATTATAATTACACTAATTAATCTCCCATTAATCCCATAAAAATCATATCTTTAATCATAATCTTCCCTTAATTAATTGATTTTCTCTCTCCTCCAAATGGGTAAATCACTACCTTCAACAGCAGGATTAAAGAATTTTGCCAGAATTATAACATCTGAAAGAATCACCCCTCCAAAACAAGTCAAACCCAGATCACCAAATCACAACAAAACATCTGTCTCAACTTCACAGTCACAACCCCGAGTTGACTCGGTCAAACTCGGGCTGAAAATGGACAACTCGGTGAGTCGAACTCGGGTTCCTTTGTCGGAGGTGGTTGTGGATTGTGCGAGGCGCTGGTTTCAAGACACTCTTAAGGAGGCTAAAAATGGGGATGCTACAATGCAGGTTTTAGTGGGTCAGATGTATAACAGTGGTTATGGTGTTCGAAAGGATACTGAGAAGGTAGTAGTAAATTGGAAATTCTTGTGTTTTTTATGCAATTCAGTTTTGTGGGAAATTTATATTACAGTGTATGTTGCTGTGTTATTATAATTATTGTTAAATTAGTTAGTGATTTTATTATTCATGTTTGCGGGATTGATCAATCTCGGATGTTAATGTGGGCATGTTTGGAAAATGTGATGCAATAATAGTATGATTTTGATTTGTCGAACATGTTTTTTTTTTTTAATTTTAATTTTTTTTTATTTTTTTTAATGGAATTATGTGGATTGATACTTAATAGTTTGAAAATTGGATATTGACATAGACTTTGGAAGGAATGTAGACCATATATGGTTGATTGGTTGTGTATGTGTGTTTAAGTTGGATTTTGATGTTTGAGTGGGAAAAATTATACTGTATTATGGTTTGCAAGCAATATTCATTAAGCGCTTACTAGCTTAAAAAAAGAAGCTTTCTTGTTTGTGATATGTTGGTTGTCTTAGCCTTCCTCTTTGGTTGTAAGATGAGGTGTTTGGCTGAATAAGTGATATAGGGATTGATATGGAATAGGATTTTTGCTAGGCAAGCGATTTGGGAATTAGAAATGGGACAGGATTTTGCAGATTTGCTCTTGGAAAGAAAACTAACTCAAAGTTGGTTGCTAGAAGGCTTAGAACTTGTCATTGCGAAATTCCATTCAATGCTAGGCTAGGCTAAATCAAGAATCATATTGGTTTTTTTGTATATGAAGGGAAAATGCTTTTATCACACTTTGTACAGTCTATGCTACAATGCCTCAGTTTTTTTTACGCCTTTGTTCTACCTTAAGGCCTCCTCTTTCCTTTATGCGAGGAGGGAGTCCTGGAAGGTGGGTGTTAGTGTGTTACTCCAAATGTATGCCCTTATCCGTTCTGACAATTTAAATTCTGAAAGAATCCCAAAACTTGAAGGTACTTAGATTAGTATGCTATAACTTATGTTGGTATGGTTTTTTCACTTAGCATGCCATTTACAGATTTTACACAGACCTCTCTTGTGCTATATTAACCAGGAGGAGTGTGAGGTGCACCCCTCACATCATTCTTCCTTTTCTAGATCTGCTTATTAGCATATTTGCAAAAAAGTGTGCTTTGTATGTGTGATACATACACCTCTGCTTCGTTAAGAAAATCTTGTTAGTGCCGACTGTTTTAGTGCTTGAGATTTTAGGTAAAAGATGAAAAATATGTTATAGTATCAGGTAGTGTGACCATTAACCTGCTTTACACATGTAATCCAGGGGCGTAATTGGATTAATATAGCTTCCAAAGGAAGGTCTTCTGCATGGAAAGTTAGCAATAAACAGCCAGGTTTGTCTTGTTCCAAATTTCAGCTTAGATTGTGAAGTTTATCATTGCTTATATCTGCCTTCTTATAGGGTACAATGTAAGTGACTCAGAGTCTCAGGATCTCTAAGACACCAGAAGCCACATTTAATACTATGTGACAGGCAGAAGAAGGATCCAACTGTGAGTTGTTTTTGTTTTTCAATCTAGACACTGTATTACCAAAAGTAGCCATGTATATGTATGATGTCATTTGTGTATATGGCCATGAAGGCAATATCTTCTTTAGTATACGAGGAACATATTTGATGATATATGACCTTTTACAAGTTGATGTAACATTTTTTTTCATAAGGTATTGTATATTTACATTTGCTTGGTAATGTTTCCTATCCCTGAAGTAAATGTTGTGAATTCAAGTGAAGGTATCAAAGCATATGCGTTGGCTAAATTATGACTATGAATTGCATTCACATTAAGTGGAGAAATGTAGGTCGAGTCAACATGACATAGTAGCTTAGTTTTCTTCAGACCTTTTTTCTTGTCCTATCTAAATTGCGGTTTTGCTGACTGCTTTTTCAAGCTGCTTGATCACATTAATCAGCTGAAAAAGCCAAATAAAAAGTGGTCCAAACCCCATTTGCTACACCAAACAAGGCCATTTGTTGCTAATAATTACACTTGCATGTGATGATATGACAATATGCAAAGAATGCATCATATTAGCACATAATTTTGCTGTGCTTCCTTTGAGATAGCTTTTGAATTTTTCTGCTTCTAAGTTATTGGTTAGTGTGTTTTCATGGCCCTTACAGAAAAGAGAGTGCGCCATTTTCCCCCTTGATTATTGACACTTTTTACTCACTTGGACAATCACAATGCTTCTTTCCTGTCTATGTATCGGACTGCAGTGCTTTAGAATAAGTCAACCATATATTAACCTAGTCGGTCATAAGTACTAGCCTTATTTTCTAGTTTCTACAGAACATATATCATCTTAATAACAATGATGTGATAGACTACATTATGACATTAAGGTGGGGAGGACTTGAGCTACTGAACAGGATCACAGGATCATACTATTCAGAGATTGCGCATTTTTTTTTTCTTGTGGTTCCGCTGCTATTAGACTAACTGCACATTCGTGTTTCACTACATTATGTTGAACCATTTTGTGCCAATTGTTTCTTGCAGTTGCTCGAGGACCTTTTCATATTCCAAGCATTCTCTTCAGGTTCCTCTATTTATTTACTCCCTGTTGCACTGCTCCTAAGTGCACTACTCTTATTGGCTTTCTTAAGCCTTCAAACATATAAAATTCCCAAATCTATAGGATATCAAATGTACATGCCTATCAATCTTACAACTGGCTTTTAAAGAAAACTTTTCATGAACCACTTGTTGCTGGGATGAGAAGATGATCACCCTTCTTACTGGTATTGCAATATTTGGTAATTGTTTCATATAACTCCATATATGTAGATTATATAAAATATCTAATTTACTGATAGAAATGGTAAATTTGTTGGCCAGAAGTTTTAATTGCCTTGTATTGATACTGCTAAAATACAGGAGAATTGATCAACATATACACTGATATACATATTATTCAACAAAACCAATGTTGTACAACATCAATGCTCCTCTGATTATTTGTTTGTCTTCATTCATACTGCTTCCATTGAAGTTGAGGCATTGTAATATGATTATCACTTTCACTATGCTTTATCTATCTTCCTTCACGTCGGTCTTTTCTCCATTCCCATGGCTCCTCTGGATTTTTCGAAGCCCATAGCCCTACCCTCTTAGCACGTGCCTCTTTCTCCCACTGTATCAATCATCATTATGCACATTTTGAGTGTAAGGGTTTGGATACGAGCAGAGTAAATTGACAATATGATGTTTTTTTTTTCTTACATTAGCTAGCTCTGCACGGCGGTCATAGGCTGCGTAGTGCCATGCTAATCCCTTCTTCAGCATCACTTCCTGATATGAGGGTGATGATAAGTGGGAATTTGATAAATTTTGGGAGGAAAAAAGAACAAAGCTATGGAATAATATTGTAACTAAGGTGAATGAGTACACTAACTAATATCACATTCCCAAGACTAAGACGTAGTTTTCCATGAAAGGGTGATAAGCTTTACAAGATAATGGAGTGAAGTACCTGTGCAAATATGCCATTGCTGTAGATGTCCCCTACATAACGACCATAACGGTCTTCTTCATAAACAAGAACCCTTAAGCTCTTTCCTTGTACAAGATTTGCTAGCTCCTCTTTTGCCTGCTTCCCGTACGGCATTGCACTCTCAGGTGCATCTATTCCCCTGAATTCTTTTTATAGGCATTACAAATTTGGTAGATGAAACTTGAGTTGTACTAAGGGAACTTTATCATGATTTATAGTACCTCAATCGAATTCGGTACTTTTTGGCCAGAACCTCCTCATTTTGAATAGTAATAACCCTGTGACAATGAAAAAATTCGTTAATTTCCTATATTTTGAGCTGCGATAACAATTCGATAAAGATCTGGAAATACCTGTAATTCTGATCGATTATTTTCTTATGGAGTGCATCGGCCTTGGGATAGTTTTTCTGAGCACGTGCCTTTGCTCTTTCAATTGCTGCAACCTGCACTTCTTTAGGAACTGAAGATGACTCTCGAGGATCTGCAGTACTTACATATACAGTTATGGTATCTCCGTCTGCTACTGCCTTTACATCCACCTGTGTCCATCCATTTATTTTGTTTTCAGGTTAAATACTTCTGCATTATCAATTTGGAGCAAGAGCAAGAGAAAGGTTATTACCGGTAAAGTATGGAGCTCGTACTTCACCCCACCAGGGTACACAGATGGCGCTCCAGTAGGGAGATCAACTAATGTATGAGGATGAGGCAGGTTGTAGAAGGCAAGTAAGCCCTGCTCGAATAGTATTTACCCCAAATTAGAGTTTTTTTTTTTTTTCTCTTGTATGCTGTCTCATTTCGTTAACACATGCTTATAAGAAATCCTTGGGGCGGTGGAGCTTACCTCCACATCTGCCTTTTGGTGTCCTTTCAAGGTCGCGGTGACGAGCCTTGCTGTTTCCTCCGGGGTTCTTGGTGGGGGCTTGGCATCCTTCCATGCTTGTAGAAGTTTTCTGTACCTAAAAGATAAAATCTCTTATGAATGACTTGCCAACCCATTTTTTTAACAATGAAATTCTATGGACGAACTTTCAGTTTTTTAGACCTAATATTTTATAGATCATAAGAATTAGTATAAAACGGTTTCACCCAAGACTTGCTCGTGTGCTATGATCAGCACCGAATGTGGCCAGTATTTTTTGGGGGGAGGGGCCGCAGGAGGGAGGAGGGAGGCATTGGTAGCAGAGTTGTGCAATGTGATTATGCAGCTCAAAGTATTGAATTATATCATGCGAAAGAGCTTATCAACTTTCCCTTCCAATTCCGCTACATTGCAGAAATGACATTCTCTTGCAGAAGTGTAGATCCTTCAGAGACAGTTACCCTAAACTATTGTCTAGTCAGAGTAAAAAAGCTGTAAAACTGTGTATATCTCGAGCTAGGAATATTGGTACGACGATGAGATATGAGTCTGGATCAAGAATGGGACATACTAATATCATTTAGACTGTCTGTTTGACTGTTTCTGATCAAATTCAAACAGCTGAAGCACATCTGGGTGTTAGAATTAACATCTTAAATAGTTGGATGGTAGTACTTACCAGTTAGACTGAGCTTTCTTCGACGATACAACATGCTTACTGAGCCCTTCAGGCACCTGAAAATTAAAACATCAACATCAAACCAACCACTCTTTTTTCTTCACCTGATTTTTCGTAATCCAAAATCTGATTTTTCATCCTAGATTAGCTAAATTGAATTTCTTGATGATCCCATAATTCCCAGCTTTTGCTTGATTAGTAAAACTTACCTGGGATGTGGCCTCAAAGTAGAGAAGATCCTGCGCAAGGGCCGAGACTCCGACACTTTGGGTAGGAACACCGTGGTGGCCGTGCGGATGCGAGTCTGTGGTTGAAGGCTGACAGCAGTTCTTGTACAGAAATCTTAAGGCGTTTCCCATTCTTTGTTTTCTTAATCAGCTAACTAATGCTTCTGTTTTTGGTGAAAGAGAGGAAGAAAGAAAAAAAAAAAGCGAGAGAAGAATTTGTGGGGAAAGGAAAGGAATAAAAGGATGACAGATCACAGATATGATCGGGTGTTTGTTAGGATATTTTATATTTCTGTTACATTTTACAAATAGTTTGCCCCCATTAAATTCAACGAGTTTTAGTCAACGGCAAAGTATATACTATGCGGGACAAAGGGAGAGACGTTGTGACATTGAGGAGCGTCGGCGTTATAATTAAGGGACGGTTTTTTTTTTTTTAATTTTTATTTTTATATACGCGGTATTGAATTGAAAAGGTACACGAAACATAATGAATGAAGGGCTGTATAATTGTTTATGGCACTATTTATAGAATTGTATCTTTCAGGATTTGGTAGATCTTTACCTTGAGTCTTTGATCTGTTTATTCAACTCTAGGGAGATTAAGGACCACAGCCTATAGATTTTTGTCTAATTGTTTCATGAAAAAGTTGTGGTTTTTGAGGTTGGACGAGGCTAAATATCTACTTGTAGTAATTACCAGTTACCTTATAGGGAGTATATGATTGTTTTTTTCTTCTCGATGGTCCCCCACTTAAATTTATTCGAGTACGTCTTAATATAACTTTTGTCAATCACCAATTAAAGTATGTGTTTGTGCACTCGTGTACTAAGAATGCTCAGTAATGTCATATTATTGGCCTTTAAAACTCATAATTGAGATTCAATGGGATTTAATCCGACTTGCTTGACATGTCTAATACAATACCTCTGAATACAATATTTTCCTAACCATAACCTCACCCACAACACCCCCCCCCCCCACCCCCCACCAAAAAAAAAAAAAAAAAAGATTATTGGTGCATCTATCTACCGTAAATTAGAGATAAGAACATTGAATAACTTGTACAATTGATTATGCAATAAGTTTACTAATAGAATATTATTAGTAGCAGATACTTTACAAAATACGTGGGCAAACCACTTTTCTTGCATAATCGTATAATGTTTACGCGTAATCAAGCAAGCGTATGTCGACGCCGAATTAGCCTACAACTTACAAGGTCAATTAATGTTAATGTTGACTTAACATTTCAATTAATGCATTTTTTTGATGTACAGCAATACTAGCCTTCTAAAACTTAAACTTTCTTCTTCTCCCCCTAGTCCTACTCCTTCATCCTTACACTACTCAACCTCAGCGGCGTGGTGGTGGTGGTGGTGGTGGTGTCGGGACTGAATGTCTGCGCGCTATGCTTGCTGCAGCCTGCCGGTAGTGGTGGCTTCATAATTTCATATGACCGACCTCCCGTTAAAAGGGGAGCATTTTTGGGAAACAAAAGAATTTCTGCTCATGGCATCTCCTGTGATATTGATGACAAACCTTGTTTTATCATGTGCAGTAGCATGGAGTACTAACAGGCAATTATTTTTTTATGTTCAATGATTTAGAACGTCATTTTAAAAAGATATCTCTAGCGCTCTTATTTAGGAAATAATTACGGAGTATATATTGGCAATTCAGTTTTCTTGGACTGCCAAATGGTTTGTAATAGGGATTATTACTAAACTCAAAACAGTAATAGTGAATGCTAATTTATACGCGAGAGTATGACATTCTTGTTTTGAGACAATGCGTGGTTCCTATACCCAGGTGTACCATGCGCATGGTACACCTAGATCTAAATGACAGACCTAAATGAATAAAACGCGTGCTTATTAGAGTAGAGAAAGGCGGAAAGAACATCAAGTATAGATACAAAGTACACGACATTAAATATAAATATTCAGTTTCCTTCAATTTAGGAAAAGATAATTATTAATTGATATTTTTTTTTTTTGATGATCTTTTGAAAATATTTGACTTTTCCAAATTCATTTTTTTCTCTCTTCATATTATTTTATCCCAAAAAAAATTCAATCTTTTCCAAAACAAAACATTCAAATTTGTATTGGAAAAGTTTATAGTCCCTATATTTTCAATAATAAAAAAAAAATTCATATTTTCACTTAAAAATCCAATCTTTATATTTAACTAGATGGAAGCCCGTGCGATGCACGATTTTTTCATCTAAGATCATTTAAGATTTTTAATTATTTGTTTATTGTATTTAATAATTTCAGACAAAATTACAAAAGTTTAATATTTAATTAATTATTTTACTATAATTTATAATGAATTTATTAAATATAAATAAATTGTAAATATGATATTTTTTCCGTTATATAAAATCTTTAATGTGAAATGATAAATTTTTAATAATTTAAATCCTAAATCATTATTCATTATTTTACCATATATTTTATTTCGATAGAATCACCAACCTCGTCCACAACCAACCTACTACATTAGTAGTTAAATTGAACCGTGAAATGTTAGCCAAACTGAAATTGATATAAATTAAATCTTTACATTTATACAAAATAAATCAATATATTTACCAATAAATGAAAAATTGTTGCGATATAAAATCAAAACTATGCATTGGAATTTTTTCATCATCTCCAAAAATAATCAAAGCCATCCATAATTAAGTATACAACATCTAATCGTATGCCATTACATAAACAAATAACCGTTAAGTATCCTAAATAAATACAGTGTAACTAATAATTACAAATATAAATTTAAACATAAGATTTTAAAAATTACCTGGACATTGTGGACCTAAAACTAACACAAAAAAACTAACACAAAATTCGCTTGATGGGGTTTTGTATTGATACAAAATTTTATTTGTGTCGTATGATGTGTTAGATCTGCATGTAAAAAAAACATTTAGTAAATAAAACATAAACATATAATCGTTGAGTATCCCAAATTAATACAATGTAAGTAATAATTAGAAATACTAATTTAAACATAAGATTTTAAAAATTAAGCTAAAAATTTCCCGGCCATTGATGACCAAAAATTAACACAAAATTCTCTTGATGGGGTTTTTTATTGATACGAAATTTTGTTTGTGTCGTATGATGTGTCAATTTATAATGGTAGGTATCACAAATTTTAATTTAATTATAATTAACGAACAATTTGTATTTTTTATCATAAATACTGCCAAAATTTATCTTATAATGATAGGTATCAAAGTTTATTATAAGCGTTTATCATTTAAATATTTCTTAGTATATTTTTTTTTTGGATTTCTTATACTCGTAGTATTGAATTAATAAATTTATCTTTTCCTATATTTTTACTTTATTTTTTTCATTAAAATAATTTAATTCGTGGATATAATCTACGTGGCATTAAAATTTTAGATATATCAAATCTAATTCGTTACTTTTATCTGGGTGGCGACATACATTTTTAATTCAAAAATAAAATACAAATCTTTCTTGTTATTGGTCGAAATAAGTATATTTCTTACGTCGCGTTCCGAATGCTCTCCAAAAATGCCTACTTTATTTATATATATTAGATTAGTTTATTAGATCTTGTAATGGTCGTCTAAATTATGATCATGTGTATCTCTTGTAATGTTCATTAGATGATTTAATAATGTTCTTTATCAAAAAACACGATGTACTTTATATTATTTTGTAAGGTATAATTAGTTAATAATAGTATAGAGTATTAATTTTGCAAGTTCGTTATTATATCATATATTGTATGTTCTTAATTCAATCTTTTGGTAAAGTATTTTAAATATACATGTTCATCAATTGTAATCGTAATGTACTTTTACTATCCCTTCGTTGCTTGTTGTGAATTATTATTTAAAATTTGTCTTTTGATCATAGTGGTTAATTAACGTATTGTTCATTACATGATAGTATCATGCTCTTTATTAATAACATGAATGTCCTTTATCAATATTATGGATGAATGCTTTAGATTTGAAAGTCCATCATTGTCCCAAAAACTTCTCGTCAACCTCGGAAATCCTAATTACAAAAAAGAAAAAAAAACATAATTATTAGATGATATAGGTTAGAAAAATGTGGATAACAAAATAATAATAATAATAATAATAATAATAATAATAATAATAATAATAATAATAATAATAATAATAATAATAATATATGGGTTAAACCAGACAAACATGTCTACATATAATACTCTCTTTTTCTAAAAAAAAAAAAAAAAAAAAAAAAAAAAAAACATGAACATGAAAGTATAAAAACATACTATGAAGTAAAAAGAACATTCTTGGTATTATTGCCACTTTTTTTTTTTCTTTTTCCTGAGAAAGAACGTATGTTCTTTAATGTATCAATAATGCTCTTTAATATATCAATACGTTCTTTGATATGTCAATGATGTTCTTTAATATATACACATTGATTACAGCACATTGATTTGAGCAAAGTACATAAAGAGTACAACAAAGTACATATATATATATATTTAACAAATGTACATGCGTAATATCAACATTGATTTTAGCAACTTGATTTCAGCAAAGTACATAAAGAGTAAAACAAAGTACATATATATTTAACAAATGTACATGTGTTTTTCATATAATATCAACATTGATTTCAGCACTAATAAATATAATAAATTAAATAAAAGAACATAACTAAATAATAAAAGAACTTCATCTTCAACCTTAAACATATTGCTGTAAAAATAAATATATAATTATAAATCGATAATAAAATTTAAATTAGCAATAATATCTAAATTTAACAATAAAAAAATAAGAATTAACAAATGAAAAGATAATCGATTAACCAATTTACCTTCATTTTCGTTTACGATATCCTTGAATTCACCTTCATTGTTGATATCATCATCATCATCATCACCAACAAATCTAGCATCAGAATCATGGCGAAATTTGGATTGATAAACCATTATTAACTTCTTCTACAGAGAATTCTATCGATCGGTCGACAAATTTCTCTCTGTATTTTTCTCTCTCTGTAATTTTAGAATCTCTGTAATTTTCTCTCTCTCTAAAATGTTTAAAAAATGAAAAATGTCAATCAAGGATAATTATCAAAAACTGAAAGCTATTTAAACGGAAAAAACTCCCTGTAATTAAGCTAGATTTTTTTAATTTTTCAATAATTTGATTCCAGCAATTTAGTTACGCTACATCACCATGGTACACCCTGGTGTATATACAAATTTCATTTTGAGATCGGTGTTTTATTGTACATTAACAAAACTCTAGTCAAGTATTTTCGTAGTATTAGTAAATAAGAAAGAATAAACTATTTTAATTCTTTTCTATTTTTGTGCGAAGAGTCACTTGGACATTGCAAATTACAAATTGGGGGGTTTTAAATAACAAAGTACAGAAGAGCATCATGAAATTTGCCGCCCACTTTGTCTAAAAGAGGTATTCTCATAGACCTCAATACTGATTTGTTCCGTTTTATGTGGCAGGAAGAAGAAATGAAGGATAAAACTTGTTACTTTTAGCCCAAACAAAGGCTTTAATTTATGCACACGCCAATAAGTTCTTTTATCTTTGGAAGAATGATCATGCAACCACTCACTTTTAGTCTTTTGGAAGTATAGCCATATACTCACTGTCAATTTTTAAATGTTACAGACTGGCTAACTCGAGTAGGGTTTGAAAAAAATAAAATACATAAAAATACTCACACAACATATGTTTTATTATAATACAAACTTTTGGTAAAACCAACTTATTTAAAGTGACTTGTTATATTGTTGACAGCGTGTCTTAGTTTTCACTCAAGACCAATAGTTTGTATCAAACTTATGATGGCCGTTTTACTACGTATTTATAATTATATATATAGAGAGTATATACATGTCTAAATTGGCCTTATTATAGATGAGTATGATAGATGAATATGATGCATATAATTGCTTGCTCATGATTGTTCAACTGTACTCCATAATAAAACGCGTATGTATGAAAGAACCATCCTAAATTAAAGTCCAAAAAGCAGGAATAAAATTGAATTTTTCACCTTTACCTAAAGTTGATTATACTACTATTATCATCACCAGAAAAGAAGAATCTAATGCCCCACCTCAGGCTTCATAGTCATGCTTATATGCAGGTATAGCCTTAACAAATGCATAAACATTAGCAATTTTCAGAGTTCTCTAATTTTCTTAGCTCTTTCTTAGACCAACAGACTTTATTGCAGTTCATCAACTATGACAAATGTAAGTATGAATCTTATTTTCCCTGTTTAGTTATTGTATGATCTTCAGTTACTTAACATCATTATTTCGGCGTCATTTTCAGATGGTTGAGTTGAAGGTGGGATTGCATTGTGATGAATGCATCAAAAAAATATTGAAGGCCATCAAGAAAATTGAAGGTAAAGGATGATATAACACTGGAAAAATCAGCATTACATACTGTTTTCAGGAAATTCTGTTTCACTACATTATTATATTGTTGATTTTCTCCCCTTTTTTCTTGGTTTAGATATTGAAACTTACAACATCGATACAAGGCTTAACAAAGTCACAGTGACGGGGAATGTCACAGAGGAAGAGGTGATACGAGTGATCCATAAAATTGGGAAGACAGCAAGCAGTTGGGATGATCGCGAAGAGTCCATCAATGTGTCAGCAGGATATATGTGATGCTATTTCTGCATTTTGTTAAGAAATGTTCAGAAATCTGAATCTTTCATGCTAATTCTCACAGCAAATGGTCATCTTCTATGTAGTAGTATATAACGTATGTAGTTGATTTTAGAATGTAAGCTAATATTTAGTGTAATTCAATTCAGATCTTTGTTGATTTTACAATTGTGATGCCAGTTTATCTTCCTGGTGTTCTCTGCTTGCTGATGGCCCCATATATTTCTAACAGAAAGGTCTTTAGAATTCCAAAACTTCGTTCTTTACTTCATGTTGACTACAAGAATATGGCTTTGATAGGCAATCAATTGTTGGCTAATTTTAATTTGTTTGTTTAGCTGGTGCTACCTGCTCATGGCGACGATTTTTGGGATTCAGGCTATAAGATAATTGATCACAAGCAAACTACATATGCATAATTACGAATACTAAACCTTGTTCCTTTAATGCTACTGCAACCACAAATGCATCGTCTATGTCAAGAAACAAAAAAAAAAAAAAAAAAAAAAAAAAAAAAAAAAAACCGCCTTTGAGCATTAGAATACTTACCTTCAGTCTTCACTTATAAAGAGAATAAGAAAGCATTATCAGTCCAAGTAGATTATGCAGTTCCCATCAGGAATTGAAGTTGCTCCTTTTTTGGTTATGCTGCCTACTCCTGTATTCTGCGTAGCAGTAGTCATTCTCCTCCCAGGAGCCGAACTCAATGGTTGAGAGGATTTACGTTTGTTGTTGCTGCATCGTGCACTAAAGCTATTGACTCGAGTAATCCCCCCACCTTTAAATGATATAGCATGCTGTCCAGTTGCTCTAGGTTTTGTAAACAGTGTGCATAAATCATTATAGAGTGGACATTTATACTTTCGGTAAGGTGCAGCTTCAGGATGCACCTGCATGAGACTAATACATATTCAGTTCTTAAACCTGTCATATCAGTTGGTAAAGTCAGGATTTTTTTTCACATTATTTTGGATTTTGGATTGGAATAATTGTATTCAAGACCCTAAACATACATTCGAACTGTAACACATTGGGTTTTATAGTCGAATAAAAGCCTAAAACTGTCATGTAGTCCACCAGAGTACTAATATGTTGACAGCAAACAGCAGATCACAAGTTTCAACCAGAGTACTAATATGTTGACAGCAAACAGCAGATAATAGTCTGAAAGAAGCTAGGAATACAAGTTATGGTGCATACCTGGATGTAATCCTTCCACATTTCATCATCCACATCTACCATTTTTCGCCGATAATCCCAGCCAAAGCCAGGGTGAGTATATAATGGTTTCACAATACGATAACGTTTTTTCAACACAGCCATGTGTTTCTTGAGCTCCTTCTTGTCATAATCCAAACCAGTTTCTTTTCTGAACTCTTCAGACACATGATCCCAAACTTGCTCAGAGAATCCAGTAACACAGACCTCAAAATACTGAAGTTTCATTTCTTCAAGTAGCAACTCAACAAACACTTTCTCTAGACGTGGTGGCCAGTTTGGCTGAGACCAGACATCCTCAGAGTTGTGTTGATGAGGTTGATCATTCACCTATGTATACGCAGCTAATATTAAGCAGAGAGAACAGGATATATAACAGTATTTATTGCGCGATTTCAGTTAATACTCCACACAATTGTTAAATAAAATTTGTTGATAATCCACACAGTAGTTATTTTTACATGGTTCAACATGTGTCTATGATTCTATAAAATCAAGACTGAACCAACATAACATCAAATTTTAGAAACTTCTATTTTTTCCTTTTTTTTCTTTAGAGGCGGGTGGAGTATCTTAGGATGCCAGAAAGGGAAAGAGATCGATGAGGCGTACATGGTTCTTAGGCATCACTCCCTACCTTAAGGCTTTAACCAAGTGAACAGGCTCAAAACTACATTTACGGGCATTACGGCACATAAAGATATAGTACTTCGTAATACATTCTTCTAAAAAGGTACCAAAGTGTGCACATCCTTAACGCAACACTATCCAAATGCAACCATACTCGTGTAAAGTGTTGTTCAAAAGCATATACCCACAAGTACACAATCATCCAAGTAGCAACATGCCAACAAAGTACACATACCATCATAGCCAATTGAGATTCCACCACATCTATTCACGACATCAAGTCGACGATACTTGGGATTGAGACTTGTTAGTAGCTCCTACTGAGTAACTAAACAAATCTCACATTCATATTTCAAAATAGAGTTAGAATATATTCGAGAAAACTTGCTAAGATTCGACCCTCCGCCTTATACGAAATCTCTAAAATTGGTATCATGTAACACCGCATTTGGAAGTCATTACTTATAAAAATAATAAATGAGCCATTATGTAGCACAATTACATACACCCTTTGAAAAAAATAAAATAAATAATCATCGGAAAATTAATATGAAAGCTTTTCAAATCACAAATTAAATCACAGGTACAAACTTCCTATACAAATAGCAGATTTACATTGCATAATCTTAATTATTCTGACAATCAAATTCTATAAATTCAAAAGGTGAACACATACTGAAATCATGAGAGTTGACAGTAATAATGTCGCAACAAAACGAAAGAAAGAAAGGAAATTAGAGTATCAAACCATAATTGAAGAAGTGGGTTGACCAATAGAAGATGTTTTTCGGGTCCCTCCTCCTCCCTTTGGCATAGTGGTTCGTAGAGGGCAAATCTCTCTGTAAAAATTAATGTTATGGGTGGTTATATTTATATGAGTTTACAAAAGAAGAGGGAATTAATCAAAACACCATTTCAAATGCCAAGTTAATTGTTTTTTCCCTCCTAATTTTCCCTCTTTGCATTTTTACAGTTTTACCTACTAAATTTTCTTCTTCTGTTATATCCCCAATTTTATTTTAATTTTTATTTTTTTGTTGTACCATTTTATATGATTTTTATTTCAGTGACTACCAGACAGGCAGACATGCACCATTACTTACATTTTGTTAGAATGTCATGAATCGGTTAGTCCCCTCTTTAAATGATCATGACGAGTCTGTTGTAATGTGTAGGTTATAATTTTATGTTGTGGGTCAATTTTTGGGCTTATGTCAAAGCTATTTAGCAATGCTATATAAATTCTTAAGATTAGTGATCAAGATAATATTGTAATCCGTAGTAAAAGTTTTAATTAACTCTTCAATTAAGACACTCCTACTTACATCACTATCATACTATGGTGTTTTTTTTTTTTCTTATTATTATTATTTTTTTTTACAAAGAAAATAATAATTAAAAACAGACAATTAAAAACACCACGAAAGGAAAGATCGCTGATGAGCTCAAACAGCTAACCAGTGACCTGGAGCAACCCACAAGTGAGGAACCTTGCAAATCCGACAAGCTAACCACTATCACACTATGGTTTACTCCTTAATAGACTTCCCTTTTGTATATTCAAGTTATGGTTGAAAATCACAAAGCTGTACGGGGTACTTTAGATTATAGAAAAGTCACTGCATGACTTAACAAAATTGAGAAATTAATTGCTTATTGCTCTAGTCATGTTTGGTTTTTACACCGTATTAAATGAGCTAGACCCGGTTAATATCGCATATAAACAAGTGGATTGCTAAACATCGCCCGTAAATCTCCACATAAAGCCCACAAAATTCACTTGATTTGACAATATTGCCCTTGACCTAAAAAAAACACTCACACTCTCATCGCTCATCTTCTTTCAACATCTCTTAAAAAAAAAAAATTCAAACTACGGCAATGTCGAGGCGGCAAGGCAAGGAATTGGCGGCGGAGGGAAGGAGGTCTCAAGGAGGCAAGGTACAATTTCTTAAAAAAAAAAAAAAAAAAATTGAAAACCGCCGTGACGGAGGTGGGGCGCCTTGGCTGGACGCCTAGCCAGTGGTGGTGGCGCCAGCTGCAGACGCCGCAACCAGTGGGCTGGCGCCTGGGCTGAACGCCATAGCCACGGTTGTGGCGTTGTTTTAAAGCGCAGCAGCCGTGGCTATGGCGTCCAGCCCAGGCGCCAGCCCACTGGTTGCGGCGTCTGCAGCTGGCGCCACCACCACTGGCTGGGCGTCCAGCCAAGGCGCCCCCCCCCTTTTTTAATTTTTCTTTTTTTTTGTATATGTCTATTAATTTTTTTTTTAATTTTTTTTTGTGTAATATCTTTTTCAATTGTTTTTATACTTTGTTGTTTATTTTTATAATTTTTTTCAATTTTGTTGTATTTTTTCTATGTTTATATTTTGTTTACAATTATTGGTGTGTTTTATTTGTACATTTTTATTTTTATTCTCTATTTCAATTTGTTAGTACATTTTTTTGTTCATTTGATATTGTTTTTGGTTAGTTAATTTATTTTAATTTTTATCATTGATTTATAAAGTCTTAAAAGGACGCTAGACAAAAATCAATATAAGTTCAGTAAATTATCAAATAAAGCGACTACACCTAATTGAAAACCAAAACTAAATTGGGAATGAATTATTTATGTTTATATATATTCTTATGTGTTGGTTTTATTTCCTTTCTTAGTGTATTTTTTATTCTATTATTTTTATTTAAGTGTTTTGTTAATTTATTTATTATGTTAATTTGTTAGTATGTTTTTAGTTTATTTGATTTGGGTATTGGTGGCTATTTTTCGTATAATTTTTTGTATGTTTATATATTTTTAAATTTTTTGTAGAATTCACTGGGCCGTCATGGTGCGGGGAAGAATGTAGAGCTTCTTAGTAGAAGCTATTCAGTGGAGAGGTCGGGGCATAGACATGTTAGATCCCGTGGTATTTCGGCCTCGGCTCGTAGAGAATGGATCCACCGTCGGGATGAGGATGACGATGATGATGCTGAGGAGGGTGACCAGGAGGAGGGCGCATATGAGGATGAGGATGTGGACGATGGGAGTGGACCGTATGATGATTATGGTCCATTCAGTCAGAGGTGAACTGGATGCCTTTCGGCCCAAACCCTAGTGTTAGGGTACCCAGGACCCTGTACACGGGACTCATTCAGTATCGTGAGATCGTCGAGGTGTACATGCCCCAGCGTTGTCTTCGCCAGCTTGGATTTGTCCAAGTTGTCCCTCCTCCCCCGGCATGCCCGATGAAGGCGGTCCGACCTGCATCGTCGAGGGACTACGTTGTGCAATGGCCGGATATCATGACTGGGACGTGGGACCAGTTTCCGATGGTGGCCCGCTTATGGACTGCGGAGTTGCAGAGGCCGCCCTCTAGGGTTCCTCCCATGTGTGACCACTACTACATGGAATGGTTCAACCGGT